TGCATGGGGTTGTTCCTCCCCAGGTGCAGGATCCTGCATTTGGCTTTGTTGAACCTCATCAGGTTCCTCTCTGCCCAGCTTTCCAGCCTATCCAGGTCACCCTGAATGGCAGCACAGCCTTCTGGTGTATCTACCACACCTCCCAGTTTTGTGTCGTCAGCAAACTTGCTGAGGGTACATTCTAACTCTTCATCCAGGTCGTTGATGAAGAAGTTAAACAAGACTGGGCCCAGTACTGACCCCTGGGGGACACCACTTGTCACCAGCCTCCAACTATACTCAGCGCCGCTGATGACAACCCTCTGAGTTCTGCCATTCAGCCAGTTCTCTATCCACTTCACCGACCACTCATCCAGCCCACACTTCCTCAGCTTCCCTAGGAGGATATCATGGGAGACTGTGTCGAAAGCCTTGCTGAAGTCAAGGTAGACAACATCCACGGCTCTCCCTTCGTCTACCCAGCCAGTCATGTCATCGTAGAAAGCTATCAGATTTTACCTATTGCTGCTGTCAATATTTACTGCAAGATTATGTCATTGCTATTTTAATAGTGTGAGAATCGGAGCTCGTGAAAACTAGCAACAAATTTTCCATCTGTTGAAAATGTCAAGATCTAGCTAAGATAGTGTGCTACAGATTCTGATAAACTATCATGTGTCAGGCAAAAAGGTGAACTTTTAATGCCTATATGAAAAGAGATTTCAAGATACTTCTTTTGGTAAGTTTGCTTTGATTACCTCAAAGTATTTTAAATTACTAGTATTGAAAGTCATTTTGTTAGTAAGATTCAGCACTCTATTGCAGTCCATCAAATTGTAAATTTTCAAAATCCATATATTTAAAGAAAAAGTGGATCAAACACATAATTTGACTCTATAAATATTTTCAGTGCAACTGCTAAGTGAGTCTGCTTAACATAATACATTTTGACCAGTAAGAATAGTCTAAACCTTTACATTTTCAAAGCATTAGAAAGCTGCTTTACAACCACCTACAATTTATTTCAGTAAAAATATGCAGTGATTTTGGTGTCATAAGCCATTCAGGGGAGTCCTCATTAAGAGGATATCAGGAGTTTCTAGTTCTGGTTTGCTCGCACCATTTCCTTTCCTTTTTATCAAAGCACTAGCAGAACAGGAGCATGAGCTCTAACCTCTTCCTTCAGAAAGAACGAGACCTTTTTTTCTGTCTTTACTAAACCATTTTATAGTTCAGAGTCCTCAGTATCAAAGTCAAATTATTTCAAAAACAATTGGTTTGGTTTTGCCTCAGTTTGCGACAAAGAACCACGCTATGACTCTCTCGCTCCTTCCCCCTTCCTGGTGGGATGGGGAGGAGAATCAGAAGGAAAAAGGCAAAAACTCATGGGTTGGGATGAGAACAGTTTAACAGAACAGCAAAGGGAGAAGAAAACAACAATCAATAATACTGATAAAAAGCATATACAACATGCAATGTTCTTACTGCCCAATACTCAGCTTGCTCCTGAGTAGCAAAAAGCCTATTCTTTAGCAAGCTCCGACTTAAATACTGAGCATGACATCACATGGTACAGAATATCCCATTTGACTGGCTGCTTGGGTCAGCCCAACAGCTGCTGTGGAAAATGAGCTCTATCCCAGCTGAACTGAGGACTCAGACAATGAAATGAACCAGAGGAAGTAACATTCCTTTTTCCTGCCTCTCCAATTCTGATCTGCTCACAGCAAAAAGTAAGTCATTATGACTGTGGGGTAGCTTAAGAACTGGTGGGGAGCAGGAAGAGTGTATTTAGAGGGCAAAGCGAAAAATTAAGAACAAAAAGAAATGTAATTTACTCTGTTAGCACTTCTGTCTTCAGAATTCTGTTAGGGATATGAGAATTTGAAGCCTCAAAGCACAATGAGAGTCCCTTCTTCTTCTGTAAGTACCTGGTTTTCTGCCTTTGTTTCCTTTTTAGGGAGAGGTTTGCTTTTTTTTTTTTTTTAATTTTGCTTACCTTGCTGCTGTATTAGTGGCAACGTGTACTTTTAAACGCGGTGTAAACAAATAAATAAGAAAGCATTTTTGCTGAAAAGCCAATTTTCCTGTAATGCACTATTTACTAAATAACTGTCTTAGTAGGTATCAGGCCAAAATTACAGTACAAATGAATTCCACACCGGAGCTCTTGCATACATGAAAGTTTTTATGAAACTTCAAAAAAATTTTGCCCAGAGGAAGTTTTCTGTATAATGGACAAATGAATGAAAGAATGGAGAAGAATAATCTCTCTTTGAGGATCTTTCTTTGGGGCAGGCAAAAAGAGAGGCAGTTTGTGCTGCAGTGTTAACGAAGAAGAACAAAACTGTCTGCTTCCATGAAGAAAGTTTGCTTAGACACCTTCTTTTCTCAGTGCACCAGTGTGTGTTTTCTTCCCCGTATAACTCAGGTCATCTTCATAGTGCTCATATTGTACAGACTAGAAGTGATGTTTTGGGGGCTTTTAGGTAGCAACATCAGCCTAAAGAAAATTCGCCACTTCATCCCTATCCTAACCCCAATCTACACAAAAATCTCCAAGTTAAAGTTCACGCTTGAGCTGCCTTGCCTGGCAGAAACAGGTTGTTTGATGCTAAAGCTACAAACACTGTAGAGATGAGTTATCTACCAATTACAACAGCTTTTCAGCTGCTAATTCAATTAGTCTGTATGGCTTCACTGCTGCGTGGCTCTCTGAGTCTTCTCAGGCTCAAGATAGGCAGTAATTCACATGCACTGATACAGCTAACACTTGGAGGAAAGACAAGCTCTAAAATTCTCCTTCAGAAGGATGAGTAAATCACTAAATATCCCAAGAGTAATTTAGAAGCTCTGCTCACTGGTGCAGACAGTATGTAATCACATTTTATTGACAATTCCCGAAGATCAGTCTTGCTTTTGAAGCTGCGTAGACTGAAACTGAACAGAGCACAGCCAGAGGGCCTAACGCGGCATGTAGTGACGAGACTTGGTCTGGCACCAGACGAGCTGCTCCAGTGAAGGGAAACACTGTAAGCCCTTCAGCATAGTGCTGTGCATTGGCCCGCGTTCACTGCTGTGAATTTGCACCATATCCTTAGAGACAACTGTTTGCAGGGAGTGTGGCAGTTTGCTTACACAGAGCCGAGACTCTTAGCACATCTAAGAACTTCAGGTAGTATGTTCTTTGGAGGAGAAAGGCAAAGGCTGTGTAAGTGATCTTATAATAGAAAACTTGCAAATACAGTTTATGTATAAGTAAACGTTGGACATTAAATGTTTTTTTAAATTTGTGTTTGATCACTTCAATAATCTCATCAATTAATTTTTAAAAACACTGTGCCTCCTTGGACACAAGTTTGGGAAGCCATGTTTCATCTCAGAGTGTGTTATCACAGCTTTATAAACACTTGAATACAATACTGCAAAAACAGTGACAAGAATCTTAAAGACAGGCTGCTACTAGGTACCACCCAGCAACCCACAAAGCAATTCCACTTATCACAAGAAATTGGATCTTAGATACTTGGCTAAAAATGGATATAAACTCTTTAAATGTGTTAAAACATAAAGTGAATTATTAGATGTATGGCTGGTATATTGGTATCTAGTAATCACGTTATATTCTCTTCCTTGCAGGAGGTGAAGTTGCCAAGCCCAGATTTGCTCAGTATTTCCATGGCAGCCTGGCCAGTCTTACTATTCGGCCAGGCAAAATTGAGAGTCAGAAAGTGATTTCCTGTTTGCAGGCCTGCAAGGAAGGTCTGGATATTAATTCTCTTGAAAGTCTTGGCCAAGGAATAAAGGTGAGGGATGAACTGACATCATCGCTGATAAAAATTTAGAGCTGATTTATGAAGTGGAGTATCCAAGGTAGAGTACACACAGTACAAATGTACTCCCAGAAGCAATGTAATTTCCCATAAAGTCATGCAAAGAAAAAGCGGAACAGTAGAAAAGCTGTGACACTGCAAAGAAAAATGCTTCCATTACTGCAAAGCTAGATGCTCTGAAAGTAAGGCGCTGCGGATATTTCAGAGTCCATAAAAATTGGCAGGTCATGTTCTCATGCTTGTTTTGGTAGTTTTACAGAAATAGACAAGATTTCAAAGAAGTATTGAATTTTGATCTCAAGTAGCTTTAAAACTTTGGAAGACGTAAGTGGAGTATCTTTCATCTAGAGGCAGCTCCCAGTGCAATAGCACTGAAAAATTCAAAGCGTGTTCCGAGAGGAAAATGTTATGGGACGTGAAAATTGGCCAATAATTAAAAAATCTGAAGTCAGGAAATTCAAATTTTACATTTCTGTTTAAGATCATTATCCATCTTCGTTATGCATATGACTATCTTTAGTGATTCTGCAACATTTTTGCTAAGATCGGAGAGCAACAGACAGAGGAAAATCCTCTTTCAGTTGACATAGTGGCCAGATTGCTTCGCATTCATTAAGACAAATTCTGTTGTTCTGGATACGTATGTAGGATCCTGACTGTAACTTCTGCAGTGCTTACACGAGATGCATTGTAGCAGTTTCCCTTTACTGATACCATTATTAGATGACAGGTGTTCTTCTGTCTCATGTGTTAACACCCTGTTCAGCTATTTCCTAGCACACAGATCACAATACCATCTTCCAAAGGAGCTGAGCTTCAAGTTCAAACTGGGCAGATGCTTTGGCTGCAGACTATGCATGCTGTGAAACTGCACAGGTGGATTTTTAGTGTGTTGTTTTTCAGTGGGGAAGGGGGATGGTGCAGTAACACTCAATCTAGAGCATGCAGTGGAAGTGCCGTGTACTCATTTTATTAGCTATACCTTTTCATTGTACAAGACCTCATGAAGTACACTCAGTTGCTTGTCTAGATAACAAGTTGCAGTGGTGTAGTATAACTGATGTGTTTTCTGAAAACAAGGGTAAAAATGAAAATCGAAAGTGCAAAGGTAAGGAGGAGTTTTTTTTAGCTCTAGCTTTTACATATGAGCAAAACGCCCCAAAGATTTTTCTTTTCATCATACCAAGGACATCATTAAGAATTTCACACCATTACCTCTCCCAGCAAAATGACACATGAGCAAAAGCTATTTTTAAAAGACAATGGATAGAAAGAGCAGGTAGGGATTTTCTGGAATGCAAGTGTGCATGCCTACCCCTAAGTTCTTTGCTGGGATTTTACATGAATTAAAGCAGTGTATGCTTGGTCCGTGGTGCTTAAAAGCGTAGTAATTTCTTCCCGATTGTAACACCCTGAAATTTGACAATATTTCAGCATTCTGTTGTTTCATAGCTCGGAAGAAAACCCTGTTACACTGCTCGCTGCTTGGCTTTCTTGCTGTACTAGCAGTGCAGTGGGAAAAAATAAAGACGAGGGATTGTTTCCCTCCTTTTCTTTCACCAAATTTCAAAACATTTTCATTTTCCAAAATACAGGTGAGGTACAGTGGGTTTTTTTTAAATTAATGCTTTAATTTTTACATCCTCAGCCAGCTCAGCAGTCAGTGTAACAGCAAGAGGTGAAAATGAAAGGAGCAGTTAGAGTGTGGTAGGGTTTCTTATTGAGGCTGACAGAGAGGAGCTCAGATGAAAGCACAGCAGTTGGCACCTGACCTTGGACAGAAGATTAATAAAGAGAAGGGGTTTCTGGTATCAAAAAAAACCATACCCCATCTCAGACAAGCATGTGTGACGGTTGCACAGATGGTAAGTTCTGTGTGGCTATTTACATGGCTCTCAGCAGATTCAGTATTGGCGAACTGATGCTGGAAGGTGTTTCTGCAGGGAGAAAGGGGTTACGAAGCTTCACCCTTCAGCCACCTAAGAAAGAGCAATGCAGCTGTAATACAGTTTCTGACACAGCAGTGGACTATTTTTTGTCTGCAGCCCAGTCTTCAGACACCTGTAACAGCTCTCAGAAACACTGTTCAAAATATCACTATTTTTAGTCTTTTATAATGAGAAAGACAAAAATGGCTCAGACTAGGGCTTTCTCCAGTCCTTTTGGCAGCATTCCAGCTGTTCTGGCAGCCGAGCTATTAAGTTAACTAGCTACCTTTTCCTAATTTTATTCTCTACTACTGCTAGCTTACAGAAAGGAAGAAGCAGCATGCATATGCAGGCTGTGACTCGCGTTAGTCCTCCTCTTTGTCAAAAAATACCCTTCAGTGTGTTATGACCTTCCTCCACAAGCTTTAAACACAGTCCTCCATGTTCTGTTCAACAGAGAAATCTGCTTTGTTCTGTTCTTCACAGTCCATTTGCTCTTTTGCTTTTTAACCTTTTTCATTGTAAGGAAGTGCAGACAACCATTGTCTCTGCATAACAGAACATGTTTGTATAATCAATATCCAGCTTTGGGAAGGGACTGCATGTGAGAGAAGGGTGCACTTCTTTGTGTTTTGTGCTGATAACAGTAGGGTACAAGATCAAGGGGGTTAATCTGGTTTTCTCTGCAATGCAGATGGTTTGCTGACCCAATTAACAGACAAAAAAATTGGAAGGAGGATGAAATATGAAGATAAAATTTGCTATGTGGATATAGTAGCAAAGTTTCTTGGTCAGCAAGACTGTTTCATGTCCAGTGCAATGGACTAGAGAGAGATCAGGGCTACAAGAGCAGCCGTTGAGTTTGCAGGGTTTGTTGTCGCAAATGAACAGCTGGCTTTGTGCAAGTAGCAGCTCCATCTTAAATCATGACACGCTTATTGATCATGAGACAGAGGCAGGAGACTCCCCTTTATTGGGTCTGATGTTAACAAAGGTGTAGGAAGGAAATGTTACAATTGTTTTGTTCATTCATGTTGGAATAAGTCTCAGAAAGATAGCCCAGGGTAAAACCAAACAGAAAGCAGGAAAAATATGCTTCTGCGTGTTGCTCTGGTTTAAGCCAGTATTTTTATATGGGGGATGCCTTTAACTTAAAAAAATTGCATAGTAATGATGATGATTGCAGTTAAGTTAAGGTTTTGAACTCTACAGCTACAGAAATAGTGTCAGCAAAGTTGATACGGCTGGGCAAAGTACAGCAAATTGGGATTAGTTTACTGTAAAATTATTCATGAGTAGATATTCAGATATGAAATAGATGACTGATACGAGCACATGTTTTAGGGAACAACATGTGGCTTCAAACAATAGCTGCTAAGAATTAAATAATTAGATTTTAAATCATCTTAAATCATTAGATTTTAAACTTATGTCTGTGTAACATTCCTTAAAAAAAATGTCTTATTTTGTACTCTGTACCTGGTACCTTAAATACTAATTATATGCATTTCCCCTAGTATCACTTCAATCCCTCCCAGTCAGTCCTTGTCATGGAAGGAGAAGACACTGAGAATATAAATCAAGCTCTCCAAAAGGTCTCATACATCAACTCTAGACAGTTTCCTACAGCAGGTGTACGACGTCTCAAAGTCTCATCTGAAGTCCAGTAAGTTATACTTCAGCTTAACTGATTAGGAGTATTTTTATGAATTACTTTTTTCTTTGGACATGTAAAAAGAAGGATTTTGGCTAAATTACATCGGTAAATCATACTTTTATGTTATGAAGCATAAAGGATGAATTTCATTTACTTCCATGCTGATTTATGTTGTAGTTTTGCTACTGTCCTTTTAAGAAACTTTTCTTGTTGCTGTAGTTTACTTGCATTCTGTTTATAGCTTGGAGCACACAGTCTGGGCTGGACTTGCATTTATTGCGTTCTTATTTTACTGTTCATTTTAAGAAGTTATAGTTTCATCATAACTTTTTAAAGCAGGCCTATTCCATCTAACAGGCAACATACCTGCAAGAACAGTATTTCTAGCTATGCTTGAAATAGTCTTTGCCTGTCTGTATCCTTATATGGCTGTCGTCACTGATGTACTGGTGTTGGGTGTTTAACAGAAATCCCTGTCCTTCCATTTTTATGCAGCAGTAGTGACAGAACCTGCACAATAACATTTACAGTTCTACATAATCAGAGAGCTGTCTGCCACTCCTGAGCTCCCTCCCTTGGGGTACGTCTCTGTTACAGCAAGTTGTACACTACAGTGAAAGCAGATCCTGAGAGTGAAAATAAACGTCAGTTCTACGAACTCTGATCTGCTGTGCGTACAGTTCTTCCCAGGTACTAGGCTTAGTCTAGTCCTGTGGGCTGACTACACTAGGTGTTTGGAGAACATCTTCTGATAGAGCTTCACTGGAAGCAGTTCAGTTTGCACACTCCCAAGGCTGGCCCAAGTCTTGTGCCAGTACAAAGTAAGGTAGACTTTGTCAGGAGATTCACTTCAACAGCACAGTGCTGATTGAGATGAAAGTGCTAATATAGGCCCCTTTCGTCCCCAGTAAATACTGGGGGATGCCAGCACGAGTTCATGATGGGTCAAATTTAAATGGATAATTAGGCCCTTTTATTCACACATGACAAGATAACTGTATTAAGTTCATTAGATATCACTTTGAGAATTTAATGTTAGGTTTACTAACATTATTTTTTTTAACCATTCACTACCTTGTTAAATGTCAGTTAAACATCAGAATACTCTGTGCTCTCATGGTGGCCTTACTAAAGACTAAGCTTACCATGAATCTGTTTGCTAAGCTGACCTTACATAATTTCAGTAGTTGTGAATGTGTGAGGGGATGAGAGGACAGAACTGTTACTGTCACTGCTGGCCTATGTGCACGGTGGTACAGATGCATGTCCTTAAGTGTGGCAGTGTCAAAGTATGGAATAGTGATCTGAGCCAATACAAAAGGATGAGAGCCATCAGGTGGATTTTGGGCAGTACAAGTGCCACACACCTCTGACGTGCAGTGTGTTACATGCGGTTAATGAATATGTTTTTCAGATGTTTTGGTGAAGATGTCTGCATTAGTATCCCAGATATAGATGCATATGTAATGGTGTTTCAGGCCAATGAGCCCAAGATTACAGTAAGTGGGATGGATCACTTTGCTAGACCAGCTGCAGAATTTGAAAGTGAAAAAGGTGTTATTTTGTTACCTGACATCAGGATTGTCAGCACAGTCACTAAAATGGAGCATCCAGTGGACTTAGAAGAGCATGACAGAGGTTTGTGGATTTCTTTTAGATTTTATTACTTACTCTGTAACATGACCCCTCACATTTTTTTAAAGGATAGTGCAAAGAAAGTCACTTCACCCAGATTACGCAATGTTAAGCAGCAGTAATGCTGTACTGAAGACATTCAGTTAAATGCATTGAAAAAGGTAGTGATAGATCAGTATGGGCCTCAAAAAAGCAGCTTTTTCATTTAGTGTCTTGCCTGCTTCGGAATAATTCCTTTCAGTTCCTCTTTACATATTCCATCGAGTAACATATTTTCATTAGAATCTCTCTACTTGTAACAGAATTTTCTTAATTGTATTGATGAAGTGGAAAGCAGTAATTGACTAATAGTTGGAGTTTTAGTCTATTCTTATGTTCCCAGCTCTGCTACTGACTTGTGGGTGATACTTGAGAAAGTAATCTTGTGCTTCAGTTTCCCCCCATATAATGTAAATATAATAATTTGCAAGGATTTTTTTCAATGATGACAGTTTATTTTGATCCTGAGCAATGTGTGTATTATTATTCGACACTAGGTGAATGTTCAAGCTTTCAGGTGATTGTCTATAAAGGAATATTCCTTTTGGATGCTCACATACAAGGTAAATGAAAAGCCTAGTAATCTGAGGAATCTATTCTAAACAATATTTGTTGAACCAGAAAAAGCAGCAACTAGATGTACATCTCTTGAAAAGATAAATCGCTAATGATGTGCAGGTATAGGGGCACGGATTCCCTGAAGCCATGCTCTGTAATAATGCTGCTTATCACTTGCCTGAAACTGCATCTGTCCTCTGAAGGCTGGAAAGTGTATCATATCATAATATCAGCTGCATACAATCACAGTGTTTAAAAAAATGAATTCTTGCATAGAAAAGAGTGATCATTATCCATCACTTAAGACACAATGCATGTATGATGCTCCAGGTCCCTAAATGTTATGGTATCTTCAAAACAGTTCAGTGAATTAGGAGCTACTGCCCTCCAGTTTAGTTCACAAATTTCGTCTATCCCAGTTTTTCCCGATATAGTTATTGACATAATTACTGTTACAGCACCCTGCAGCGTAAAAAGCCTGAGTTTTGCCTTGAGAAGGAACATAGTAGCATTTCTTAAACTACTGTTTAATTCCTTGAAAGTCAGGCACCTCCTAATGTGCCATTTCTTATTTCCACTAAGAGTGGTTAAAATGCATACGTAATAACTGGCTCTGTGAATAACTGTGTTTTGCAAAAGATTACTGCATTCTAAGTCTCAATTCCTGCATTATAAGCTTGAATCACTGTTTCTCTCAGGCCAGATATTATCTGACAAAGGCAAAGACAGCCATAAATCTTGACCCATATCTACCTATAGCTGCTTTTCCCACTTACTGGGAATTTGCATAACCTTATCATCATGACTGTAGCAGAGAAGCACATGGCAAGGCTGAGGAGGCTGACTTAGTCACCTGGTCACAGGACCAGTTAGCTCTGTGTCTCATCAAAAGCAGATCAGGCAGTTGCCACGAGCAGCAGCGCGGCGATTTGCTGCCCCTGCCCCTCCTATTTGCCTGCTGACAGCCAGAGCAGCAAAGCTGACCAGCTCGGGTTTCACCCTCGTGCTGCAGCCCAGCTCTTGCCTGTCTCTCGTAGCTTCCTGTGAAATAGTCCAACTCATCAGCCTGGACTATATTCAGATTTGCCTAACCTCTAAATTTGAGTTGGATCTGCGTTTTTGGATAAGCTAGAGCTGTACTTAGAGTTCAGATACCCAAATTCACTGTGGCAGGAGCTGGAAATCTAGGGCACAAGACCTTTCTGTCTGTGCCTGCCTTCCCCACACACCCTCTAGTATAAAATTTGCAAAATGGGCACCAAGTTCCAAGACTGCCGTCTCTGTGTCTGCGGTACCCTCAGGGAGCTGGTTAAGCAGTTGTGGCAGACTGCCTGGCAAAGCTAACGAGAGAATTAAAATACTACATCGATATGCTACTCTTCTTCCAGTGACAGAATTATTGTTTTTAGTCACATGTACTGAAGGATAGTCGGTTTGCAACTCATCTTCTCCAAGTCACACAACACAAGGTCTTGCCTTTTATGATAATACTGTATTCTTGGATAGATGGCCATGTTCTTTGTAGTGCACACTCTTTATGGGCCATAGAGTAACCGAGAGAATCATCCAAGCATAGATATATTTGACAGGTATTTTTCCAGTTTTGTTTTCCTTGAGAAAAGAATGGATGTATGATACCAACCTGGTATCAATACAGTATTGAAAAACAGAATTGTTAACATGAATTTATTTCCAGAATCACATTTCAGTTTTCTACTTCCAGCACTGTTCTTGAATGCCATTTATTACAGAGCAATACATTTTCTCTCTCTCTCACTAGGTATTTGTAGGCCTTCATCATCATAGCACTTGAACAGGCGAGACACTTCTCTTCGAATTTGCCTCAAGGATGCTGTATTTAATATTGACAAAAACCAATTCAGTCATCTTTACGTAAATTGAAAGCCCTGATACAAAGCACCTAAAATGACAGAGCTGTTCTGTGATCACATACCTTAGTTTCTCTCTTCTTTTTTTCATGGTATACACCATGTGTTCACAGCCAGTAAGCCAGTGGTATTAGAGGACGTGCTCCACAACTTGGATTTCTGTGATATTTTGGTCACTGGCGCAGAACTAGATCCTGAACAAGAGTGTTTAGAACTAGATCGTGTGGAGCTTCAAGGAAAACATCTAGATGCCACAAATTCCACAGCAGGATATTCAATCTATGGTACGTTCATAGACTTTGCTTTCCCTTACTTCTTCCCACCAACAATTGCATTATTGGAATGAAAGGACTAATTTGAAAGAAATTAAACAGAAATATGTGAATGTTCTGTAGAATATTCCAGGAGAGACAGTGTCCCAAAAAGCACAGCCACTTCTTGGTCTCTGGGTGCGCTGTGTTTGTCCGCTGAAATATAGCACAGCTTTGTCTTGATCTCAGCATCCCTCCCATTACTCTTCAGATAAGGAAAATAGCAGCTCTGCTTTCTTTAAATCTGGGGGTTCTTGTCGACCATCACAGTGGAACATGGAAATGAGGTGATTCCTTGGTGCTCCTGCACAGCGTTGGCAGCACACTGGCGATTTTTTTCAATTACTAAGTAATTTATTCTAAATCTTTGTTGTTGTATTTGTTCGTCTCCATTATGGACCTACATTCATTTCCAAAAGCTATTCTCACGTAATTCAGTGTCAGCCAGAGGCTCTATCAGGGAACATTTGATGCACTGCTTTTTTCAGATCATTCTGTCAAATTTTGTATTTTCTGTGAACATTTAATCTCTCCTGTACTACACAGAGCATTTGTTACGTAGCATCTCCTTGACATTATTACTGCTCTACCACCATTTCAGGTGTGGACAGCATGCACAACTATGAACAGGTTCTTCGGCAGATTCGATATCGTAACTGGTACACTTCTGCCACCTTTGACAGAAAGTTCAGAGTCAAGTGCTCAGAGCTAAATGGACGTTACACCAGCAATGAATTTAACTTGGAGGTAAGCAATCATTTAGTCAAGCTTTCTTTTCCAACACTGAGGCTAAGCACTAGGCTCATCTTCAACGGCATCGAGTTTTCTTTAAAACAGGTTAAATGACTGACACTTTCTGGTAACTATAATCAAATAGAGAATAAATTCTAATTTCCATGCAAATAGGAAGTTGGCTTCTCCTGTGGGCATTCCTCAGCGTGGGTCTGTCTATTCTGCTGCATATGTAAGCAGAAGATGACCCTTCCCTTGAACTCCACCAACACAGAGAATTACTCCTGTTCAAACAGAATGGAGGCTAAGGTCATCATCATCGTTGTTTTTCCATGGCATAAAATCTCCTACAGGTCTTTCTGAATATTTATACACCTGCTTAAAAGTAAAACATTATAGCCTCATTATTTTCCTTACGTGGGTTTTTTTTTTGTTAACTTAACCTGACAGCATTTTCTTTCCTGCAGCATTCACCTGTTCAGTTTTTCTGAGCACTGCTCCCTTATGATAAGTTTTGTAATTTGCTCATCAGGTGGAGATCACTCCTGGTACTTTACATCATTTCAGATTTCTTTGAGGAGGAAGGTCAGTATACAGGCAGCGAATGCATAGGATGGACTTCATCTGTCATATTCTTTTGGATCCACTACCCAGACACGGTCAGTCACCACAGGACTAGTTAGATTGTACCAAAGTCCAGTGCGGCACAGTGGGTCAGGGACTGAGAATTACTGCTGGGGCCAATTCTGAGCAACCAGTTTATCCAGCCTAGAGCCCAGGTGCCAAGTAACTACAGGAAAGGGCAGGACCTTCTTAGCAACAGGCTCAAAACTTAATAGTTGGTTCTGAAAGTTTTTACATGCTTATGTTGTGTTGAAAATTCTTTTCCCATTAGCATTCTGCAACCCTGTCAATGACTTCAGGGTTTTTGCTTACAACATAACTGTCGGTAGGACAGGAAACTGATGATATATTCAAAGAAAGTCACTCTGAAAGCAGAGAAACAGGAAAAACTGAAACCTCTTTTAATTCTCTTTTACTGTTTTGGTTTTAATCTCAATGAGTTTGATACATTCTCTGGCAATGTTCGGGGTGGCAAATCTCCCACCAACTTTCAGGGAACACTTAAAAGCTGATCAGTATAGTGAAAAAAAAGTCACTACTTATCCAGACAGGTAAGTCAGAAAAATCTTTTTCTGTGCCACTTCACAGTCTACAGCTAGAAATGTTACAATGTATTTTTAATGCTAGAAATGAGAAATATCTTAACCTGTGTTTTTTTCACTGGCATAAAGAATGTGAATTTGGCCTTTAAGATCCACATAATAATGTTCCTATCTGCTGACTAACTTCACAGTTCGGTGTAATGTATGGAGCCAGCAGGCTTGGAATATAGAGCAATTTTTGGTGTCTGATCTCTTATTTTTTCTCTTGTGTCAGGTTAGTATTTTACACAGCTCCACCTCCAACTTCATGGACCATGTAAATCACATGATAGTGGAACCACAATTTCTCCAATCTGTCCACCACCCAGAGGAAACTTCAGGTGCTCTTCACAACTCAGGTATGTGACAACTTTACAAAGACTGCTCATAATGATTCTGGTATGTTGGTATTTCCCTTGTGATTCAGCCTGGTCAACAAATAAAGCCTATAGTTGCAGCTTGTGAAACCTCACCGAGCTCATTGAACAGGTGTGAAAGAAGGTAACAGTGAATTCTGTTCGTTCTTTCTGAGGAGGTATGTTACAATTAAAAACTGGTATCCTTTTTTAAAGTCTTCATTAAAAGTTATGTACTCGGACCCACATAGTTAAGAAAATGTAATTTTTATTAACGAATGATACGAAGGATAAATATCTATGCTCCTATGGTCTTTGTACGTCTGTATTTCTATGGCATATTAATTTCTGGCTGCCTCTTTCTAAGCAAAAGTGAAGAAATGTCCGTATTTTTCTGTTTTTTAATATATAGTTGCTGAAGTGCCCAGGCCTCAGTCTGGAGCTCTCTGGAGAGAAGATAGGACCACCTAGCCCTGTGCTGGGGGCATTATATTAAATACAGAATTGGAACTGAATGTTTGGGCTGTAGGAGTTAAAAATATGTACCCAAATCTGAAGCCTTTTCAATGAAGTTAAACCCAGGACCAAGATATCTGTTTAAATGCTGGATTCTGAAATCCTTTTAGTGGAATAATACATATGTAAAGAATTAAAGCTGATGTAAAGTGTAGGTAGTCATAAGTAGTCATATACAGTTATGCTTAGAAAATTTGTGTATTTTTCTGTATAATTGTACAGACATTTTACTGAAATGAAATTGAATTTTTACGAAATGAACTATTGCGAACTAGTTATTTCTTCTTTAACATTGTTCTGATTTAAGACTACCATTCTTACAGGCAGGGCAAGGTGATAAAATAGGGCGCAGAGCTACTACAGCTGCTGGAACTGCAGTACCTAGGTAGCAAAGGTACATAGAAAGTGGCAGCACTTCTCCACTAACCTAATTACAGAGCTGGTAACATAAGAATAGTTTACAGAGATTTCCTGTGACTAGATGGAGACAGAGGCTTCTCAGAGTGCAACAGAACAGTGAGGAAAAATGCCTTGAGCCCTCAAGAGTCTCCCAGGAAGGTTGTAACACAGGCAAATAGAGTAACAATGTGTTATTTTATTTCTTGGAGACTGAAATCACGGTGCAAGTGTCTGAAACCTTTGAAAATACAAGCTTTGAGATATATTCTTTTCTCACAAGTGAGTTTAATGCCTCAGCTGTAATCAGGAGACAACGTGCAGGTAAGATAACCATGTTGCAAAAAACATTTGTCCTGAAACTAACTGATTCTGCAGGATTGACTACTTGTGTTCTGTAGTAAAGTGGCTTGAAGAACAAAATGGTAGGCATACTCACTGCTTAGTTATGATTTATAATGCTCTTTATAAGGTATCTGTAAACGCCATTTTTTGTATGCTCTGCCTTAGTTAGGATGGCACTTGTCAACACTTTCTGTAGTCCCAGGCAGATGGCTGTAATAATTCGCAATCCAGAGGAAGAGGTGCTGAGGGGAAAAACCAGACAATGTATTTAGGGTTTTGACAGCTATTTGTTCCACAGATATAGGCCCTTTTCTGCCTTTTGTTCCAGTTGTTCCAAGTGTGGCTACTATGGTTATCATACTCTGTGTGAGCATACTCGTTTTCATCATAACCTTGGGGGTCTATCGAATTCGGACAGCTCATCAGCACAGCTCTGCAGACAACGAAGGAAGTAAAGAAAATGAAATGGATTGGGATGATTCTGCTCTGACTATTACTGTCAACCCCATGGAGGTACATAACTGAGGCATGGTATTATACCATGATACTACCAGGAGTTACTGTCTGGGCTGGTAGGTTACTCAGCAGCGAGTTTTAAGCCTCTTTCAGAGTACGCTTGTTTAGGCTTGGCAGAACAGCTGTGTGTACGTACACTCAGGACCCTGTCTCAGTTTTGAGCTCTGCAATCCATGATAATGTATAGTTGAGAGCTTCTAATTACTACATAGGATGGTGAAGAATGCTTAAGTACAACACCACTTCCTCTCCATCCATATTTGCACCCTAGGTACCCCAGATGATATAGCTACTTTGTTTTTAACTTTAATATAAACACTAATACACTAAAAGGAGGGGAAATCATGAGCAATTTAAAGAAGTTGACATTGAAGGGTTAAATTTGGCATCTCGACTAACCAAGATATCGCTTATTGACATTCCATTCTTCTTCCAGTAGTTTTTGAATGCTTGCTACTGAATTGTATCATATTTGATGCCTAATAGTCACATAATAATGGCAAGCAGATTTTTCCAATATGTTAGCGTTTCTAAATGTGGAAGCAAGGCGGCACTTTTCTTCTGTCTCTCATTTCTTTAAATGTACTCTAGAAATATGAAAAACCGCACCAGGCACAAGAGGAGAGGGAGGAGGAAGAAGACGACACAGAATATGAAGAGGAAGACACAACCAGTGCTGAATCAGATGAGGAGGAGGAGGAGGAAGAGGAAGAGGAAGCGATTGTCCAAAAGGGAGACAAACAGAATGCCACCAGGCAAGAGCAGTTGGAGTGGGATGACTCAACACTCCCGTACTAACAGCCCTCCAGCCACATTGCTCTTTTGTAACAACCAATACAATGTTTTTTCAGAGTCAATGAATTCGTTGACAGGATTTGAACTTACGCTTGCATATACCTGTTTTGCCTAAAATGATCTTGTTGTAGTAATTGATAACAATAGAACTGACCCTTTTCTTACAAAGCCTGGAGAAAACATGGTACAAAAACACTGGCATCACCAGTAATAAAGTAATCTAGAATATGATGTGTTAGCAAGCGTAGTTCTCAATTTCCTGTTTCTACACCGCAGATATGTGACAAAAGTTCTGTCACTCAATCCACAGAAATTTTTGCCTTTGCTATTTTTTTCATACAGGAGAGATATTAGCTCATTAAGGAGAATTACTTGTGTGGGTCCAAGTAACAGCTGCTGTTTGACTTCATGCTCCTACAGATGTAAGATATAATCCACCTTCAAACTGGGGCAGAGTTTTAGCGCTACAGGTGACAGAGGCTCAATTCCATTTGTCGTCTCGTCCTGCCTTCTTGGATGTTAACTGTCTTCACAAGACAGTATTTAGGACTTGACACGGGATGCATGTGTGCTTGTGTAGAAGTGGACAGTGTATTTTTCAGGCATGCTGTCAGAACCCTCAAGACAGGAATTGTATCCAACCCACCCACAGAAACTTAAAGAGTTTAAAAAACCAGCAACAACACAGGGCTGCTGAAGGTTACAAAAAAAATCGTGTCCACAGATTGAGTAATATGATCTTATGCAAACTGTAAATTCTAATGGGATTGATTTACTGAAAACCTGTAGAGCCGCTCATTAGTTATGGATTAAGCAATTTGCAGCAAATTGATGCTTTAAACCGTCTGTCTTGTAAAATCATTAGGTTGCTGCAGTATCTGACTGAAGTAGTGGAAAATAAGTGACCCTGTTTTTCCATAGCTATGTATGGTTGGGATTTAAACAATGATTTAACACAAGGAAAATGTTCCCTTTTGCTTTAGTGAGTGCCAGCTGGAATTCCTGTCTGACTGTATTCTGTAAAACATTATGCTCTATTTCTTCTGTACCCTTGCCCACCCACAAGTGGCACAAGAGAAAGTGACAACATACACAACGGTAAGCCCTCTTTTGTGCTCATAATTCTCCCTTATTTCTCCTTCCTGAAGCCATTAATGTTGAGAGAAAGTTTTATAAAGTAGAACAAGAACAAGTAAAACCTACCTGGACCCAAAAGGGGGGGGGGGGGGCGGATTCGAAGAAGTTGAGACAGTATTTTAGTTCGTTATAGTAACACAGCATATTTTTCTTAAACACTGTGTAAAAAGGGGGGAGGAAAAAAAAAAGCAGCAAAGCTATGTACAATGTGTTGGTAAGTCTGTGTGGTGTGGGTTTTGTCCCCTTTCCTTAATCATCTTCGCATCTTCGAATGCTCTGCATCCAAATGATGCAGCACTTGCTAAGATAACTGCTCTAATGCATCAAAACCAAGATGGCATGGAAGTGAATGCTGCCTTAGTGGCTTGTCTGCTTTTTTTACAAGTCCATCCTTTTCTTTACAATTTCATCACTGACTTTGGCTTTTGTAATTTGCTGTTTAAAATGAGCTGCTTCCTCTTCTCCTGTCTCCCAAAGAAACAAGCAGTCAGTTGATACTGCAAAGAGTAACTTGAGCAATCTTCAGAGTATCCAGCTCCCTCAATACTTCATGTTTATTAGCAGCTGCTGCTAGCTATGGGGAAAGATTGACAACAACTAGACCTTGTAGTTTAATAACTAGAAAGTAAATGAAAAGAATCCTAAATTCATTTAAAAATTAGAGATCTTCATGCTCTTTTTTATTGTCTCAACAATCATGTCGGCACATGATTGTTTGTTAAGACTGGCAATACAGAAGTTTTTGTATGTGAGCAGTCCTGTTTTATTTTTATTCTGGTCTCTCACATGTATTAAAGTTGCATGAATATTTGTAGAATCAAGCCCACATACCTAAAATTTATCTGCAGGAATAAAGATTGTAAAATTGGGCAAAATTTATGTTAAATAAAAAAACAATTTTAAAATGTCTCGATATCCTGAACAGAAATTCTGTGTTAGATCATTTCTTAGCGTCCTAGTAACCTCAATAATTTCCTAGTGTTAATTTGTTAGTGACATGAAGCGGGCCCTTCATAATGCTTGTTAGCAGCACATACCTTAGCAACACTTTCTGCTCAGAAAAAAAAAAAAAGATTTGTAATTAAAAGTGGATATTTAAAAGTTAATTTCAGATTTAAAACTGGACTTGAAATTATTTTTAGAGTTTCTGTTATTCCTGATTATTGTTATTGTTGTTATCGCAGCAAACATTAGGGCAACCTGAAAACAGCAATTTACAACATTATTGACAGCCTGTAATTTTTTTATACATTCATGTCTTCATCAGTGTGTTTATCCATCGTATAGATCTTCACCTTTTTGTTACTGGAACCAAATCTTTTCAGGCTGTACTGGTACCTTACACAAGAAGCAATCATGAAGTATTTTCTCTACTGTAAATAAACCTACATTTTTAAACCTAAGCAAAGTAATGCAGGAATACGTGTTATCACTCAGATTTGGTCTGCAACAAGATACTCAGCAAACTAAAATGTATCACTGTACTTAGATTGTTCACTGGGCTGCGTCAAACAGCATTTTTCATTCAAATAAATCCTTTTCACAAAATGTTAGTGAGAATGAGAGAGACTTCTTCATAAAATGAACCTTAGAATTAGAGTATTTGTGTAGAATTTGACAGCAGTGGCTTCGTGAGCAAAAGTCTACTAGCACAGTAACATAGAACTATCACTTTTTCTGAAATAATTTCAACATTATTTCCTTCCCTCCATGAATTGATTTTTGATGTAACCAACTCAGAACATGTATGTGTGTGCACGCGTGTGTGCACACACACACTCTTTTTCCCCACTGATCAAAAGCCAAAAACCTCTCCTTCCCTCTCCGAAGAAGTGTTCAGGCTGCAGACTCTGAAGTGGCAACTGCAGTGTCTGACTGTTCAAGATGTAACATTTTTCCTTAGCCCACTTGCAATGGGGAGCTATGAAGACACACAAAGGTTGCTTTTTTTACAGTAGCAATAAACAAGTGCGTCCAAAAAATCATCTCTGGCGAGGTACCCATAAAACATGACATCAGGAATCTGTGATGCCAGAGATTTAAAATGACATCACATCAATGAATGCCTTCAAATTTTTGAAATTCTAATCTAAGGCTGGGAAAAGCTGCAAAACCTACAAATGCAAAGTCAAGACAGTGGTATACTGTGTTACCTGAATTAACATAGCTCCCCAAGTTGTTTTTTGTGATCAGTAGCTCACATCTCTTTTTCACTTCTTCCCCCTCCACAGGTATTTTATTGAATCTCAGTATTTACTGCATTGGCTGACACCAGTTCAGATTAGAAACAGACATATAAGGTGCGTGACATCTTTAGTGCTAATTAAAATTATGTTACTTGTTCATTCAAACAGGCAGTAGTGTCCTGCAGTGGTGGCTCGACTGCTCTTTAACTAGGGATGATCTCCCCTGGCAAGGGCTACTGGAGCTGTCCCTGCCTGACCTAAGCTGAAAATAATGCCATGGGACATTAGTGGCGCCAGGTTAAGGACTGGTCAGAGGGCGACTCAGTAGCAGCCCTTACTTAACTTTGGCAACACGTTTTGAGCCCTGCACCTAATTTATGTCTCAGGTGTGTCTTTGCCGGACCTGTAACCTGAGGCAGTTCTAATGCTTGTACCTGGTGGGGGTCCCGGCAGGCTGGGACATGACACTGCCTCTTCTGGAAGTTCTGGTGCCAGCACGTGCACTGTTGTGTTCATCTGCACCACCATCCATGCTTTGCAGAAGAGGAGAATGAAAGACTTTACTGAAGTGACAGCAGGTAAAGATGTGGTGGGACGGACATACAGAGGTGCTGCTCCTGATAGCCTGGACTAACTTCATAATTAAGGATGAATTCAAATTCAAAATTAAGGATGCTTGCAAAAGCATACAGATACTTAGAGAAGGAGAGGGAATTGAACTGTGAGGACATCTCCAGGGCTTCAAAAAGTCCTCTCTTCCCTTAACTCACACATGCTGACTAGAGGAAATATCTCTGTACATGGATGTCCCCCACAACTTTTTGTATGCTTATTGCAAATGACAACAAAACCTCATAGCAAAATACAATTTCCAGGAATCTAATAGTAGGCAAAGGAGACAAGTACTAAAAAATCTTGATGTCTGACATCATGACTAACATCCTAATTTGTTTTGTTTTTTAGCAAATTTGCTTCATCTCTGTGCAGTGTAGCTGTTTCCTGCATGTATAATGTATACTATTGCTGCACTGCACTTAAAAAGCACCAGTAGGTTAACAGCAAGAGAATAGCTCATTTGGCAGAAAAATAAAGGTGTCATAGCTTGTAAAAAGGTGTTTTAGACATACTTAGATACCTGTTTCTTGATGAAATCCTGGTATTGAAAAAAATCAATTTCATGAAATAAAATTTTGGACATTGACAGTTGCCAGACTGGAAATAACAGTGATATGAGCAGAATTTTGAAAAAAATACATAAACCAATACATTATATTGCATATATATATAATAGTTTGCACACATACAAATTTTAAGCAATATTGTTTGTATGTATGTGTGTATATACATATATAAATATATCATCTAGATCAGCAACATGCCTCTTGTTTTCTCCAGCGTTTTCCGTGAAGCTGCATGGTTTCAGGCAGCACATCTAGAGTTGCTCTGAGACTACCTGGAAATGCTGGAATCAAAGCATATAGCATCTGTGCCCTTAAAATGGCCCAATTTATGGTTTTTTAGGATCTCAGTTGGATGCTATGCATCTACAGACAAACAGTCAACGAACTCTGGTTCTACCCTTATAACATTACTGAACAAAAAATGTGGAAATACTTGGTGGAAGCTGGGTATGCAGTAGCCTCATCTTGCTGTTTCACTTACTTTTGACAGTATGCCTTG